AAGGGGACACCATGAGGGGACACGGGGGCTGAGATGTCTCCAAAGGGTACACCATGAGGGGACACGGGGGCTGAGATGTCTCCAGGGGGACACGGGGAGGGGACATCGGGTTTGGGACCCCCCAGAGGGGACACCGTGAAGGGACATGGGGGCTGAGATGTCTCCAAGGGGACACCATGAGGGGACATCGGGTCTGGGACCCCTCAAAGGGGGTGGCCCCTTGGTGTCCCCCCAGCCCCGTCCCCCTGGTGTCCTCCGTGTCCCCCCGGTGTCCCCCAGCCCTGCCCACGGGGTGTCCCCGTGTCCCATGGGACGTCCCTGTGTCCCCATGTCCCCTTCATGTCCCCTCAATGTCCCCAGGGGAGGTGGAGGAGGAGGAGGACACATCCTGGGGTGTCCCCATGTCCCCAGGGTGTCCCCTGACGGTCCCCGTGTCCCAGGGGTGCTGGAGGAGGGGGAGGACACATCTTGGGGTGTCCCCATGTCCCCTGACTGTCACCATGTCCCTGGGGTGTCTCCTGTCATGTCCCAGGGGTGCTGGAGGAGGAGGAGGACGTGCTGGTGGCCCCGGGGTGTCCCCATGTCCCTGGGGTGTCCCTGGGGTGTCCCCATGTCCCCTGTCCCAGGGGTGCTGGAGGAGGAGGACGTGCTGGTGGCCCTGGGGTGTCCCCATGTCCCTGGGGTGTCCCCATGTCCCCTCACTGTCCCCATGTCCCCTGTACCAGGGGTGCTGGAGGAGGAGGAGGACGTGCTGGTGGCCCTGGGGTGTCCCCATGTCCCCGGGGTGTCCCCATGTCCCCTCACTGTCCCCTCACTGTCCCCATGTCCCAGGGGTGCTGGAGGAGGAGGAGGACGTGCTGGTGGCCCCGGGGTGTCCCCATGTCCCTGGGGTGTCCCCGGGGTGTCCCCATGTCCCCTCACTGTCCCCATGTCCCATGTCCCAGGGGTGCTGGAGGAGGAGGAGGACGTGCTGGTGGCCCCGGGGTGTCCCCCTGTCCCCTCACTGTCCCCATGTCCCCTGTCCCAGGGGTGCTGGAGGAGGAGGAGGACGTGCTGGTGGCCCCGGGGTGTCCCCATGTCCCTGGGGTGTCCCCGGGGTGTCCCCCTGTCCCCTCACTGTCCCCATGTCCCCTGTCCCAGGGGTGCTGGAGGAGGAGGAGGAGGATGTGCTGGTGGCCCCGGGGTGTCCCCAGGGTGTCCCCATGTCTCCTGACTGTCCCCATGTCCCAGGGGTGTCCCCGGGGTGTCCCCATGTCCCCTCACTGTCCCCATGTCCCAGGGGTGCTGGAGGAGGAGGAGGACGTGCTGGTGGCCCCGGGGCTGGTGGCCGAGGAGCGGGGCCGGGAGGCGGCCGAGCTGCGCAAGAAGAAGCCCCTTTATGTGCCCTACGAGGAGGAGGAGACCCCCGGGGGGCCCCAGGTGTGACCCCCCCCTGTGTGTCCCTCC